TTTGTGACATGAGAATTAACTGCAGTCTTGGAACACTGAAGGGAGACAAAAAAATACAGGACATATTAGAGGCAAAAATGGTTTCCAGGAGTGATTTATGAAGTGTCCGTCATTCTTTAGTTTCCAACAGTAACTAGTTATCATGATACGTATTTAGGGGGACTAAGCACTAGCTGAATTTCCTCAGGTTTATGGGTTTACTTAGCAATCAAAATATAGTTTTTCCTGGAAGGAGATGGTAGAATAAGAAGAGGAAAAAAACAGATGCTACTAACCTTTGCATTCAGGAGCAGGCCCACTCCAGTCTCCATTGCGATGATCTTTCGTTGTACAATAAATGGAGGCCTCTCCAATAAGAGAGAAGCCCTTGTCACATTTGTAAGTTACTGCTGAGCCAAAGGAAAACTCTTGTACAGTCTGACCAGTATGGGATCCATGGATGATATCAGGAGGTGGACGGACAAGGTATTTCTGAAGCAAAGAAAGTCAACATGAAAATTAAAGTTTACATTAAAAGGTGAACTGAAGAGAGTTTCACTAAGAAAATTGTCTCAGCTCCCCCCAGAAAGCTATTTAGCCATTTGGAAGGGTACTGAACATTGCATTTTAACATTTGAAGTAAGACCCCTTTCAGATTCTGAAGGTTTTTCTGCTTTTAGGCTTGACCCATCCCAGTACGTCCATTGCTCAAGGAGGATGCTCCATAAAACACCAGCTCTGGAAGATGACCTTAACAGAGTGTGCCCCTTCCCAACATTAGCCTCAGGGAGCCAGAACCTCTTGCCCAGCATCTCTAGAGGTAGTATTGTTCCACCAGCAGAAAACTAAGCTAGGACACTGCTTGTAGCAGCAGCTGATTCTAGACTGGATGTCAGCAGCATGATTGAAGTTCGAGGCAAATTAATTGTGATTCACTCCCAAAGAGCCTCAGATTTTAAGTGGACAGTCAGATTTGGGAAGGGTCAAAACTTCTTGAAGTCATTATCATGCCTTTTACTTAGGGCTTGGCTACACTTGCAGATGTAGAGCGCCAGGAGTTAAACCGGCCCTCAGAGACAGCAGCAGGGAAAGCACTGCAGTCTGTTCACACTGTCAGCTGCAAGTGCAGTGGCATGGCCAGGCCACATTAGCAGCTCTTGCAACGCCACAGAGAGCAGTGCATTGTGGTAGCTGTGCTTTTCAAATGTGGGGGAGAGGGGAGTGTGACAGGGAATGTGTATGTGGAGGGAGAGACTGTGTTTTGGGGGACAGAGTGTGTCAGCGTGCTGTCTTGTACGTTCAGACGACAGCAACAGGAGGAAGGGGGAAACCCTGACATCAGCCCCCACTCCCTGCCTCTCTCACATGCACATGCCTGCCTCTGCAGCAGGAGCATTCCACAGTAATGTTTTGCCATGTGTCCCGGAGCAGATAAGCATGCCGGCTGTCAGAAACGGAGCTTTGAAAGGGGATATGCGCATGCCTGCAGCCGAGTTCAAAACGATGACGAGAGTGGCCACTTGACTTCAAGGGATTATGGGATGTTTCCGGAGGCCAATTACAGCAAAGTAACGCAACACGCCCTCCACACTGACACCCTGGCATTTCAGCCAGGTCGCATCAAGCTCTATGCTTCTCATGGAGGTGGATTACCAGGGGTGTTCCAGCTCTAACTGCCTTGCCAGTGTGAATACCTCAGGAGTTAGGGCGCCCAGGACTGATTT